ACTCCAACTCAATGTCCAGTCTCTGCGATTCACAAAGTATGGATTTGAGCATTCTTGGTCCTATATTATTTTCTTTCTAGACATGTTAACATGGCAAATATCCTGGCTCAATAATACTTCAGTACTGATGTTATCTAGCTTTATTGATCCAACCTTCTTTTGAAAAGATCCAAGTGTGTGCATGCATGTGTGTGTTCGTGTGTGTGTGTGTGTGTGTATAAAAAGAGTAAAATAAATAACTGGGATAAATATAAATATAAAAACAGCTGTTTATTTAGTAAAAACAACTGTTGGTTATACAAACATCTGTCTGCTACCTGAGCTTTTGTCGGTCCCTTGCCAATGTCATCAGAGTAAAAGATTGAAGTTTTATAAACCTAGTTGTTTTTGCGCTCTGCTCATTGACCGCATGATTGGCCCATGCGCCCTAAATGACTGTAGCGTACAACGACTGACGAGAACCATGGGGGGGGGGGAGAACTGTCAGACGATCCAGCAAAAACGCCAACTCCAAGCAGCCAAGTGCGAGCGAGACGGGTGGAAGGGACAGGGATGAGAGAAAAAGGGGTGCCAAGATTGGCATGCATACCTATGGACAAGATACAGCCATATAGAGCAAGGCTACTGGGGCGGGCAAAATGGAGCAGACAAGGAAGGGAGTAATGGGAGGAGAAAGGGCAGTAGGACCAAACCACATAAAAAGGGGTGCGAGACATTTAGGGCAGTTACAGTCATTTAGAGCGAATGGGCCAATCACGGGCTCAATGAACAGAGTGCAAAAACAACTAGGTTTATAAGCAGACTCCCCAAACTCCAAGCTTTTACTCTGCTGACGTCGGCAGGGGACCGACGAAAACTCAGATAGCAGACAGATGTTTGTATAACAAACGGTTGTTTTTATTAAATAAACAGCTGTTTTTATATTTATATTTATCCCGGTGTTAGAAGTTTTTACTCTTAATATGAATGTGAATGGGATTCACATTTTTAAGATTATATATATATAATCAAAACCAAAGACCTATATATATATATATATATATATATATAATTTAAACTTTTAGACAAGAATAATAAATATAAAGTAAGGAAGAAAAAACAAAAAGAAAGAAATCAAGGAAAAAGCAAAAAATGCAAGAAAAGAAAAAAGTTGAAAAAGAGAAAAGAAAAATATATACAAAGTGGCTTCAAATATTCTTCACAGCAGTTACAAGTATAAATATAGTTTAATCTCTCTCTCTCTCTCAAGTTACATGATATTAATCTTCCTTCTATAAACTATCCTATCTCATCATCAAAACCATAAGTCACAAGTTCATTTTTTTCATGTTTACGCCAAAAAAATCCGTAAGAGGCAACCAGTCACCAATAAATGTAAATAATGCCTTTTCTCTAACTAAAGAAGTCAATTTATCCATTTCAGCAAGATCTGTCAACTTCACCAACCATTCTTTCACAGTGGGTAGTCTCAAATCCATGCTTCTTTTCCTTCATCCAATACTGTACTGCCTGACTGTTTGACTGATTCTTTTGTTGAATGTTATATTGCCGTAACAAATTAAGACAACCAAGACTAAACCCTTACATTTCCTTCCAAGCCTTTATATTCAATTACTGTATCATCTGTATCCTACTAACTGTATGTACAGCCTTAAATGTACCCATTTCCCCCCTCCCCCTTTAGTTTATTTATGGTAAATCTATATTTAAGATATGGAATTCTTTCTGCACAGTGCAGCAAAGATACGGTTCTTCTTCTCATTCTCTCCACAACATTCTCATTCTCCCTCTGACCATCTCTCATGCTCATTACCATGTTCTCTTACTTTGATTGTCATATCTTATGTCTTTCATTTTTATTAACTTCTAAACTAAAGACACTCATCCGTAATTCTTGCACTAGCTTTTTCCTCTTCTAAACCAAGTTTTTTATTGCATACAGTGTAATATGTATACAAATGAATGAACAGCAGAATACTTGACCCATAAGCTTCTGTATTCCTTCTGTCAATTAATGAGCATTAGTGGTATTCTGGGGGGGGGGAAACCCACCTCCAACTGAAATTCCTATCTGGCTTTTGGAGAACGTGCCTGGAAAGTATATTGCCATTAAGATATATTCCTTTGCTTTCAGTGATATATAGTTTTGGTACGCTTTTATTGAATTTAGCCCAACCTTCACAGGGATATTATCATCATATGGAAAAGCTAAAATGTTCAGCTAGGAACACAGAGATTTTATTTTCACTACACTAGAAACAGTGTTGTGATTATGCTCCCAGAGCTGCATGAAATTTAGTCATAATCTAAAACAAAACTATGATCTAATTCCAATGAATTAACAGAAGAGAGCCTCGCGTTCCCTTTCACCTTTTGAAATCTTCCTTCATGTAACATTTGAGGCTGTCTTGCTTCTTTAGACATTTTGTCTCGCTGGAGGATTCAAAATATGATTTAACATAGAATAGATATAAAACTATGGTTTAAAGGCCCCACATTAAAATTCCAAAATGGTACATCAAAATGCTACATCAAAGTGAGAGGAAGAATTTCCAACTTCCTAAAACACAGTTTAAGAATTTGGAACTATTATCTGAAAAAAGCCTTTAAAAATCACAGTGTCTATAAACCAAATCAACATGCATTTGTCAATCAGTATAACATTATACTTATGTGCTAACTAATAGAGAAATTACCTAAATAAATATAGCTTTTATAGGACACCAGATTTGGCTCAAAATCCAGATGATTGCCAGATGGAACAGTGTTTTCTGTTACCTGTCTGTTGCCATCTAGTGGTTGTCCAGATTTTGCAGGACTAGCTTTCAGATATTTTTCATTTTTAGAAAAGACAACAAAAAAGTCTATTTTCCCCCTGCTCAAAATATTTGTGATAAAAGCTTTATACAAAGTGTCATTTTAAAAACTATGACAGCAGTCAGAATCTCACTTGTTTGGAATTGTATTAACTTTACATTTCTATTAGTGGACCAGAGGAATGCTGTGGATATAATTTACTTGAACTTCAGTAAGGAATTTGATAAAGTAGATCACAACCTACTATTTGATAAGATAGAAAAATGTGGGTTAGACAGCATCACCACCAGATGGATTTTTAGCTGGCTGACCGGCCGTACTCAGCGTGTGGTCCTCAATGGAACTGCATCTACATGGAGGGAAGTGTGTAGTGGGGTGCCCAGTGCTCATCAACATCTTCATCAATGTTTTGGATGAGGGAATAGATGGGGAATTCATCAAATTTGCAGACGACACCAAGCTGGCAGGAATAGCCAACATTCCAGAAGATAGGCTTAAGATACAGGAGGATCTGGACAGACTTGAACACTGGGCACTATCTAACAAAATAAAATTCAGTGGTGAAAAAAGTAAAGTTCTACATTTAGGCAAGAAGAATCAAATGTAACGTATAGTATAGGTGGTACCTTGCTCAATAGTAGTAACTGTGAGAGAGATCTTGGAGTCCTAGTGGACAATCACTTAAATATGAGCCAGCAGTGTGCTGCAGTTGCCAAAAAAGCCAACACAGTGCTAGGTTACATTAACAGAAGATAGAATCAAGATCACATGAAGTATTAATACCGCTTTACAATGCCTTGGTAAGGCCACACTTGGAATACTGCATCCAGTTTTGGTCACCACAATATAAAAAAGGTGTTGAGACTCTAGAAAGAGTACAGAGAAGAGCAACAAAGATGATTAAGGGACTGGAGGTTAAAACATATAAGGAATGGTTGTTGGAATTGGATATGTCTAGTTTGATGAAAAGAAGGACTAGGGGTGACATGATAGCAGTATTCCAATATCTCAGGGGCTGCCCCAAAGAAGAGAGAGTCAAGCTATTCTCCAAAGCACCTGAAGGCAGGACAAGAAGCAACAGATGGAAACTAATCAAGGAGAGAAGCAACCTAAACTAAGGAGAAACTTCCTGACAGTTAGAACAATTAACCAGTGGAACAACCTGCCTCCAGAAGCGGTGAATGCTCCAACACTGGAAGTTTTTAAGAAGAGACTGGACAGCATTTGTCTGTAATCGTATAGGGTTTCCTGCCTGAGCAGGGGGTTGGACTAAATGACCTCCAAGATCCCTTCCAACTTTATTATTATTATTATTATTATTATTATTATTATTATTATTATTATTATTATTATTATTATTATTATGGATCATCGCACAGTCAGCCAGATGTTCAGACTGGATTTGGCATTTTGTCTACCTATCGAGTCCTTACCCAGGACCTGGGATAGGCAGATGTGGATGTTTGATGGTATTACAGATATCATTGCATTATTGTAGATCATCGCACAGTCAGCCAGATGTTCAGACTGGATTTGGCATTTTGTCTACCTATCGAGTCCTTACCCAGGACCTGGGATAGGCAGATGTGGATGTTTGATGGTATTACAGGTATCGTCGCAGGATGGAAGCAGTTCCTAATAAGGCCGCCTTTTGCAATTGACTAATAGCGAATTTGTCAATGCCAATGGTGTTCAAGTGGTGCTCCAGTTGTTTTGGGATTGCACCCAAGGAGCCTATTACTATTGGTACTACCCTTGCTTGCTTTTGCCACAGTCTTTCTATTTCTATTTGTAGGTCTTTGTATTTTGTTATCTTCTCCAGTTCTTTCTCTTCTATTCTGCTATCTCCAGGCACTGCCACGTCCACTATCCAGACTTTTTTGTCTTTCTTATCGACAATTGTTAAGTCTGGGGTGTTATGTTGCAGGTGCTTGTCTGTTTGAATTCTGAAGTCCCAGAGCAGTTTAATTTTATCATTATTATTATTATTATTATTATTATTATTATTATTTGAAAGATTGGACAAAAATGCCACATTTAGGCTGAAAAGGCTCAGATGTTCCATGTCAATACTGTTAGTTCACATACTGAAATCCTCCAAGGATTAACAATGAAGATAAATGAAACCAATCTCCCATGAAATGAAACCCAAGGTCCCATTTGGATTTTAAACTGTGACTTACTTCCCAGAGGTGCTGAGTATTTCTGGCTCCTCCTGTTTGTACCTTTTCTGGCAGAAGGAGAACGCCCTGGAAAGGCCCAATCCAAGTGCCCTGTTGAATCCTCTGGGCTGCACAGATGCCATAGGCCAAGCCAGGAACAGTGCTGGTGCACAGACATACTTCTCGTGGCAGATCCCGAAGCCACTCTGGAATCTCAGGGGGAGGAGCTGCAGCCGCCGCACTACTAGTTCCCACCAGGCGGCGCAAGGAGTGCAGAGGTCCATGCATGGGACATTCTCCATTTCGGTTATCGGCACACATGTCACACCCTGTGGAGAAAAGAGAATGGCAAACGCTAAGTGCTGCTGGACTGTAGTTCTGATTTCGAGACTGGCAAATAAGAATTCATCCACTACATTTTAGATGCAAATATCATAGGAAATACATAGGAATAGATTTGTTGGGTGCTCTTGCTTGGAGAAATGATAAATAAAACACATTGAAAGAGCTTGCCTAGACACCTTATCCCAAAATGTGACAGAGACTACTGTTCAAAATGGGCCTGGATTGAGCAGAGAGAAAGACAACTGAATCTAGGGCACGCATTCCCACAGATAATGGAGCATTTATCTAGGATGGCATACGGCAAGCAGGTGGCAGGTTGAGGCATAGACAAGTAGTATAGAAAGGTGTCCAAGGTCAGAAGCCTGCTGTGTTTAGATATGATACAAAAATATGACTGTCACTTGCTGCAACGGATGGGGTCAATTGCCACTCCTTTACTCAAAGAATAAAAATATTGGCGTAGCTTTGCATCTAAACCAATTTATATGAAAGGTAGTTCTATTGACTGGGGTGATATTTATTTTCTAGGAAGTGTACACTGGACAGCACGGCATCTTACTATCTTCCAACTGATTTTTGTGGATTAAACTGAAGAGATTTATTTTAACAAAACATCCAACATCAAGGCCTGGTTTGCACATATAAATCAAGATTTATTGTGTCCATTACAATATACAAACCATGATTTATTTGGACAAAGAAGCATCCAAATGAAAGCTATTCTACACCCTGGGTTACTTTAACAATGTTTGTATTATGTTTGATCTAAAATGTTGCATTATTCCTAATTATTCCTATTATATAATGTACCATTATTTGTATCCAAAGGTATGAAATTACATTTCTTCCCATTACTATTTCAGTTATGATGCATTACAGTTAATAACTAATGAAGCATATTGCCACAAAACAAGGACTTTTTAATGTTGGGGTGGTTTTCAAAATACTGCCCCAAAAAGGCTAATGTTAAAGGGTTTTTTTTAAACCATATGAAACCTTTTTTAATTCTCTCAGGTACTATATCCTCTAAAGCCGGTAGAATTATGGTTTTGCTAATTTATTATATTACGATTTTACTGTATGTGCTGTCATTATTATTCCTATTATTGATTTTATATTGGCTTTTCTAGAATAGATTTCTATTAATTTTCAAGCTACACAAAGAGCTATGGTTATTGGATGTCTTGGAAAGCAACAAATTAATAATTTTATTAATACAAAATTCTGCTGCAACAAATGGGCAACATCTTTACATTACATTAAATTTTTAATTGATAATCTTGAATAAAGAGAACTTTATAAGGTGTTTATTTTTCTATTTCAAGTCAATAATTTCCACATTCTTTATATATTTTTAGTTCTGGATTTCCAAGAACATTGCTTATTCACAGAAATATATTTTGAAAATAAAATAAAAATGAACTTCTTTGAATTAACTACAGTCCCTACCATATTTGGGACATTAAAACACAATGGAAGGTTTCAAATGCTGTTACAGAAATATATTCAAAAAGTAATGCTTGTTCTTTATTATTTACACAGCAATTTCTTTCATCCCAATAATTTTGCATCATATATATATCTTGCGGCTAAAAATAAAACAAAAATATTCACTAGTTGGTTGGGGATTTGGTGGTCTAAACCATAAATTTGGAATAAGTATACATCCTGGAACCACAAGTAATAAACCTAGTAGAATTGACATAGTTTTCTTTCCTCCTGTGTCAAATAAATTTTAGTCAAGTTTAATGTTTCAGAGAGCACAAAAATCCTTTCTATCCAACACGGTTATCAATTATATAACTAAAATCTAGCCTATATTCTACTGTTCCTAAACTAGTGGCTACTATTTAGTTTTAAAACTGTTTTCCAATAAATTGCTCCAAAGGTGAATATAAATTTCATTTTCTTTGCCATCATCTAGATCAGCTATCAACAACCTTGCATCTTTAAATCTGTCATATTACAATTCCATCATCCCCAACCAACCTTGAGTAGCTGGGGTGGTTAGGAATAAACTTGCACATTTGCAAAGACCCAGGTTAAGAAGCATATTGTAGATCTAGAAAAACATACACATTATACGTTGCAATTTGAATAATCCTATAAAAATATGTTATTTGAAAACAATAGTAAGTTCTTGAGGTTTTTTTAAATGTCATTTTAGTTTCAAATCCATAAAATACTTGTGGCCTTAAGATGAAAAGTATAATTGCAGAACCTTCTTATGTACACAAAAATTGGGGTGGAATGCTATGGATCCCAACAGAAAATTCATTTGAAGAGATTCATATTTTTCAGTCAATATATTTATGATCCAAGTACTGAGTCAGATCAGTTTCAAGTGCGACATTGGCCCCCAAGCTCTGAAATCATTCACACCTATCCACAGTGCCAACAAACCCTTGCAACATCTTTTTTTCCCCCATCATGTCCTCATCAGTGCTATCATCATGTTCCATTCCATGAGGGCCACAGGCTTGATTCATCCCCACCTGCCAGCATTGAAGAAGTGTTTTCCTCCTTCACTTAACATGGCCAAGGGCAAGGTCAAAGTATGTAAACTTGTTAGTCTTTGGAAGGAGTTTAGGCATTGGGCTGATACTGTAAAGACAATAGGGAAAGGACAGGGTTCAACAGTGGAGACAACTACTTCATCTGGGTACAGTTTTCTGCTGATTCAAGGGTAAGTGGATATCAATTTAATTTGATGAGGAGGAAAAACCAGTGTGCTTACAAAAAAAGAATTCTTAATTCTTAACTCAAAATGCATTTTCGTGACCATTCTGTCCTTTCCTGCTTTAAACAGCAAAATTAAATGAAGTTATGGACTTTCATAAATTTCCATAACTGGGGCCCATGACTTCACAAAAAAAGCCTTGTTAAGATTTTAAACTACAGCTTGGTGGGTCTGACATCCTACATATCCTGCAGCCAACTGGAGGATGGGAGGGACAGGGAAAGATTAAATGATCAAGGTTGTAAATTGTTCCCATTCCAACCTAATTCTCATTTATATGTAATGTAGGAAAATTTATATAGGAAAAAAATATGATGATACAAGCATTTAACTTTGCTATACCTAATAATTATCATTCCTCTTCACAAATAAGTTTCACGTACAACCTTCTTTACAAGTTAAACTACTAATTGTTGGCTTTGATGAACTTTAAATCTATTTAAATTCCAGACCAAGAAAATATACTTCTATCCTCAAGGCCTCACACCACTGATTCTTTAGGACAATTTTCCAATCCACATTGATCAAGGCTGTTCAAACTTTTATATTTAGACGCCTCTCCCTGGATGGAATATGAACAGGCAAAATAAATCCTGAAGCAAATGATACATAAAGCAGAAAGCAGATCTAGGGGAGACTCCAGCCATCTTTTCACTAGTACACAACAGATATATTGTCACTGTTGCCTGCTACCTTACCTAGCAAGAAACACATAGTCATCAGAAGGCTTTCTCTCTTGCCCGATGCCATGTTCTCCTCTACACAGTATTGGATGGTAAATAAAGAAAAATACCATTAGCTTTGCCCTTGTGGTTCTAGAAAGGAGGAAACTACAAAACTTGTTCTATTTTATTGCTCCTTTTTCGGAGACATTTGAACCAGATTCATACTACCTCTAGTCAGTAGATATCCTGGTTACCAAGATTCAGCCTGTGCCAGGGGCTGCTCATACACAAACTACCTTTTGTTATTACAGTGCATGTAACTAGGTTTTGTGCAGCAGCATAGAAGATCCATTCGACCCGGATGGGGCAATATTCCTGCATGTAATCTCTGTAACTATAATTTATGTATATTTTAGATATTTTCACTTGTAATTTTAGTTATAACTTATATCAAGTATGAGCCTCACTTATAGAGATTAGTTTTATAAATGTATTATAACTTTGTGTTAAACTATTTTATTATCTACTAACAGGGCTTTTTTTTTTGGTCATAGAACGCCCAGAACGGAGTTCTGGCACCTTTTTTGGATAGGACCTTGTATGGTAGGCAAGGTGAGTTGTATGACATGTGTGAGTTCTGGCACCTTTTTTTAAAAAAAAATAAACATTATTGACCAAGATAATAATTGCAATATATGCAAATAAATATGTTCCCAAATGCAACAGAATTCAGAAGCAGAATTGCAGGTTTTATTTTTTTTAAAGAAAAAGCAGACAACAGTCAGGCTTCATTCTCATTATTCAGTAATAATTCAAATAATTCAACTAGCTAACATTTCTCATTATTATTTTCATAGAACTGTTAATTCAAATATGACCTTCACTATTTTGTAATAATTTTACATAAGATGTGACTTGGATTGAATTAGATTTTTTTATACAATTAAACAACATTAACATGACCAAAAACAGGATAGAAACTTGGTATGTCTCAAGATATAGGATCCGTATGGTCAAGATTTCAGTTACATTTCAGTGCAGACCCTTGATTCTAGAATAATTTGTTCCCTGCTGACAATCTTTTAGATGTGTAACCTCCTCCCAGCTTCCTGATTATTAATGGCTCTCTTGGAGACACCATGTCTACCAAGCAGCTTCAATTAAATGAAGCCAAAGCATCTTTTTGTTTTTTATTCTAACCATACAGTTTTAGGATCAAACTCTTATATTTAACATATAGTATCACTCACATTTATGCATATGTGGTCTTCAAAACATCATATAAACATACAGTTCTGAGATGGTTATACATACTCGTTCTAAACACAGTTTTGGGAACTTTTTTCTGAAGTGCTGCCCAAAAAGTAAAGATCAGCATTACAAATTAGGGAGAACAAATTGTAGACTACTGTACATGCCAAGGATTATTTTCCATTGCTAGGAATAGATTCTACCTGGACAATTATGGAACTGAACTGTTCTGTTTTATATTAAAAATTATCTGTTTAACTATTCAGTAGAATTCTTTATGTTTTCCACTATTCATAATAAGGTGCCATAAACAGAAAGACATTATTGT